GACTAATAAGTCTACCACATCATATAAATCTACCGCCACTATAAATAAGTCTACCATATCGTCGTGATGGTAGACTTATTTATATCCGAATTAAATCTACCATGAAGGTAATTAAATCTACCACGAGTAATTAATCTACCATCACATAGAAATAAATCTACCACTGCATAAAAATAAGTCTACCGAAATAAATCTACCACTCAACAATAAGTTTACTATTCAAAACAAATTTACCAACCACTAAATAAATCTACTATCACGTGAGCGGTAGACTTATTTGCTTTTGGCGGGAAACTCATTAATGGCAGTTTCGTAAATACGTTTTTTGTTATCAAAAGAAATAAGGGCAAAACCGGGTTTAAAATTTTTTGAAGAGTGTTTGAGTAATTATGAAACAAAAACACCAAAATCATCACAAACCCATTTATCAAGACTATTTTAGTAATTTTCCATTTAAAAAAAGACATATAAATCTGAACATAAACTAGTCTAGTTCAATTTGTTTCAAACTTGTATTTCTCACGGTTCGGATTTTAAACAGTATACATCTTTAATTAGTTTATAAACCAACTTAACTTTTAATATGTTTTACATTTTGGTAATTAGTATGATTTTTATGATTTTCTTTATGTTTAGTTAGGTTTAGGCAAAATATAAAGTCAAACAAATTCGATTTGATAATTTTTTAACTTGATATAGTTCAAGTTCATCAAATTGGTTTAGCCGTTTAGGTAATTATATTAGAAATATCCGAGTATCGAAATGAACCAAAAATACGTACGTACGTATTTTTGCTTTTGGCTCGATGATCCAAATCTTTACTCACTTTGTGTTTTTTTTCTTCAACACAAACTAACCTTAAACCCAATTTTGTTTTTTAACCAAAAGTGTCCAAGTGAGGATGGGTCAACCACATTTGTTGAGCATTGTTAACTAAATTAATGTGTTGATCACTTGATTATGATCAAACCTAAAAGTCGATGCTAAAGTATCATGTGCACATCCTTTTATTTGTACAAGTGTCTCCACACTTTACCTATCAATTAATCTCCTATTCCTTATATCCAATACTGAAAAAAGAAGAAGACAAACTTAAAAGTTTTACCCTCCTCTGTAACTGAACTTGATATATTAATGATATGGGCGTTCAAAAAAAAAGGTGTTTGATAAGTCATTTGTTTTTTTAGGATAAAAATATTAAATAAAATAGTTGTTCTTTTCAGTTATATAAAACTTTTCGATTTTGATTAATAATTAATATAGAATTTAGTATTGGATATCAATTGATAGGTAAAGTGTGGAGACACTTGTACAAATAAAAGGATGTGCACATGATACTTTCTCTTTGACTATTGTGTATATGTTTTCTAAAGTCTTTCACTGTCAAGTGTGAACAACCACCCAGCCTAATAGAAAATCGGGTGAGTGAATTATTCGACGGCTACACTTATTCTAATAAAAATTTGGATTATTCCCTGGTTTAAAAAAAAAAGTGTCAACAACTAAAATAGTATAAATTGTTAGTTTTGTTCTAGAAAAATAAATTTTTTAAACGAAATTCAACTATATAATAAAACTATCAATTGTTTAGAAAATAGTTGCTTATTATAGATCACAAGTTTGCTAAATAGTTGTTTCTTATAAACCATAATTTCTCTTTTCTTATATCTAACTTGAACCTTACAATTGTAACTAAAATCTACTTTGTTCTCTTAAAGAATTTAATCAATTTCATTATAACTAGGTGAATCATACCTTTATCTTCACAAGTAGATGTAAAGCTCTATATAGTCAAAAGTGTAAAGGTCTCATTCGTAATTTAAATTAAATAGCAAAACATGAAAGTATGACTTTGAACTAATCATGTCAATTCTAATGTCTAGTTGAGTATGACACCCAAGTTATAAATGTATTCTTTTTTATTTCTATTGATTTGTCTACATGGAGAGGGAAAAACGAAAAATGTGGAAGAGACTTCAAGGTCTTAAGTTCCTGAGCAGGTATTGCATTAGGTGGTGTGTTAATAATCGGTAAATAGCAATTCAGAGATATGATTGATTTTAAATACATATATTTAACCAGTCTCAATATCTTGATTTTTTTTAAATAATGAAAAATCACTTATAAATGACATCTAAAATATATATATGTATAGAAGAAAACTAAAACTAGCCGACAGAAAAAAAATTAGGAGATGGAATTAAAAATCAATGACTGGAAAATTAAAGTCAAAAGTCAACGTTTAGACTCTATTGCAAGTTCAACATCCACTCCACTAATGTCATTTTGTAATGAAAATTTTACCTAGAATAACTTTTTTTTTTTAAATAGTTAGAATAACCTTACTATTTTTTTATTGCTGAAATAACTTATTCTGGATTTTTTTTTTTTCATAATACTAAAATTGTCCTTGACAGACTCTGCCAAACTATTGGCAGACTCTGCCGAAATATTGGCAGACTCTGCCGAACATTGGTAGACTCTGCCAATGTTCGGCATTGCCAATGTTTTGGTAGAGTCTGCGTATTTCTAGATATTGGCAGAGTCTAGCAATAAATCGGTAGAGTCTGCCAATATTTCCGCAGAGTCTGTCAATGATTCGATAGAGTCTGCCAATGATTCGGCAGAATCTGTCAATGATTCGGCAGAATCTGCCAATACCTCGGCGGAATCTGCCAATGTTTTGGTAGAATCTATGTATTTTTAGATATTGGCAGAGTCTGCCAATACATCGGTAGAGTCTGCCAATATTTCGGCAGAGTTTGCCAATATTTCGGCAGAGTCTGCCAATACCTCGGCAGAGTCTGCGAAGGACAATTTTGGTATTGTTAAAGAAAAAAAATCTAGAATAAGTTATTTCAACGATAAAAAAATAGTAAGGTTATTCTAACTATTTAAAAAAAGTATGTTATTCTAACTAATCTCCCTTTTCTAATCACTACATATATAAGAAAAACAATTATTAGCGTTAATTATCTTAATAAACTGATTAATGTACGGATCGTAGCACACTTTGCTTAAACTGTTATTTAATTATCATTTTTGAATATATCTGTTTAAATAGCCACTTTATCATTATACAACTGCTTCAAAATTTAATTGTATATATAGTCTACACAAAAGATAGGTTATCGAATGAGAATGACTGATATACAAGAAAATTTAGAGTTAAATCTTTTATCGAAGGAAAAAAAAGGAAGTGATGATTGTCCGTAATAGATACCTCACAAGATCAATTCTGCAATTTTTATACATGGCTACCTACAACACAATGCATTCGGGTAGCTATCAAATTTCGAATATTTGTAGAATTAAATTTAAACACCTCAAAGATCGGTCTAAACGAATTATAAAAAACAAAAAAAAGATCGGTCTAAACGATTGTAAAAAAAAAAAATGAGATACACAATTCGTCTATACAGTACGTTAAGTGATATTTCTAAACTAAGTTTTACATGGTACTAAGTTAAACTAAGTTTTACGTTGGTCTAATTTTAATTACATATATGACAGTTAAATAGGTTGCCTTAAACTAGTGACAATTATAGCCCAACAGTGGTCATTTCTCATTTGAGATTGAAATTAAAAATAGGAGATACTTTTGACCCAAAAAAAGAAAGAAAAAAAAGGAGATACATCACAATGTCAATTATTTGAAGTAACAACTTTGAGTGTCAAAGTGAACTTAATTAGACCATTATATTTTTGGTAAATATGAAGGTAGATATAATTATATCATTGTTTTACGGACCAGAACAACAATTTTATGTTGGTTACAATGCTCCTTTCCTCTTATTCGACAAGTAACAAAAAAACTAACAACTTTGAGTGTCAATTAAAACCAAAAACAAAACAAAAAACTTAGTGTCAACGCTAACTAAGAGCATTAATTTTTTTGGTTATTAGAGTCTATAAGAGCAACATTTTCAGCTTCACTCACCTATTTTGCTACTTTACATTTTGAGCGGATTTTAAAATTATATTTTAACAATATATAATACTTTGAGTAAGAAAACAATATATTTTCATTTCTTTCAAGTCGATAAAAAAATAAAAAATCCTGGACTTTTCATCGTACTAAACCAGACCATGAACAAAAACAAATATTTTTTCTCATTGTGTATTTTTAACAATTTAGATGGTACCAAGTTTCGACCAAAAAAAAAGATGGTAACAAGTAAAATTTAATAATAAAATATTCTGATTTTTTTTTATTGTTTGTACAAGTAGTCAATTATTCAAACAAAATTCATAAACTTTGACTGACTCTCACACTTACCAATCACATTACCTTTTATACTTTAAATCATAAAACAATTATGAAGTTGTAGTAAATCGTAAATAACTTCCTGACAAATGATTGCTTAAGTTTTTCGTTTGATTTTTGATTCTTATGTCATAAAGATGGAAAGATGGAGGTTGTTCAAAAAAAAAAAAGTCAGAAAGATGGAGTGATTTGAATCCTTCTTAACCACCACCAAGAGAAGTTGAATTATTTATTTGAAATTGATAATTGAACCCTTTTTAAAAGAAAAGTTGACTACAAATAAAATAGTCAGAAAATAAGCTAAAGACTTGAGCGAAACATGCATTAGAAGCAATATCATCCACATTATGAAAAGTAAACAATAGTGCAGAATCATTTTTCTTCATAATTAAAATCACAAATCAGAAAAGGCAATGGGAAGAGAGCAAAAAAGGAGATAAAGATGGTTCACAGAGGAAAAGCCAAAAATAAAAATGCAGAGTTTTGAGTTTCAGATTACTTTTTTATCATCCCAAGCATTTGGAAGATCATCAAGATTCACTCACAATAAACATATTTCACAGTGACATTTAAGTAGATCTTAGTGCACTCACCAACTCAACAGTGGGATCTTCATAGATGTACACAAAGCATAGCATAATGTTCTTCCTCCTAATCTTCGTCCACATCTCGGCGCCTCTGGATCTGTAAACACAGTAGAAATAAACTTAACACAATTATATCGACGGTTCAGAGATAACAGCAAGGTGTTTTTGAGGATTGTGTGGCCGTACGGTGACTTTCGTTTGTTTGGTAGTTTGGCTGTTTATTTGTTCCAACAGCGTTATAAGCCTCTCCTCAGAAACCTGTAAAGCAAACAGAATATTTTGACAACTCTTAGATGAATAACACTCGTGAAGTATCAGCATCACTCGAGTAAAACCAGATGATATGTAATAATTATGAACTATGACATGGAAAAGTGACTGGACTCTTACCTTCTCAACTATCTGTCCCATTTGAGCAGCCCTCAAAATAACATCCTCTACGCCTCTAGCTTTCTCAGGTTTCACCAGGGCAATTCGAGCAACTAAAGAATAAAGAAGAAGCATAAGAGATACATTAACATAATATTGTGTCTTTCTCAAGCTTTGGAAGATCATCATATCAACAACAATCACAAAGAAACAAGGAAAGAGCAACTAGATGAACTCCAAAACAATTAGATGGGACTTACTCCTCTCTCGGGCTTGGGAAGACAATATTTGACTAAGCATCATTTGTCTACGTTCATCAGCTTCCCTACACAAATGTCCAAGCAGAGAGTAGGTTAGTTCAAAACACAGTTCTGAATTCTAAACTGAAAGACGTCTTATATCTTTCAACTAATACACAACAATACACACACCTTTTAGCATCCTCCTGTGCATTCTCTTGCTCTGGATTCTGCTGATTGCCCTGCTTCCCCTGAGAAATTAGGTTGGTGCAAAATCAGCCACAAAGTGCAAATCTTCTTCTTCTTTTTTTGAAAAGCAAAACATAAATTAGTGAAGGAATTAAAAATTACCGTGCCATGTCGAGCCATCAGCTCTTGCATTCTCCTCTGTCTAATAGCTTCTAGTTCAGGATCAGCCTACACATAAGTAAAAGGAGAAGATATAGCCATTAGAAAGCAGTATTTTAACACTCGAAGATAAATTCTCTTCGGATAACATGATACAGTGCCACAATTACAGCAAAATAATCTATCAACTAAATCAAAGAAAACATTCGACTCCATCACTATTTCAGTCCATTTCTTTTTCATTTGATACACAACAACTCATTGTCCTACTAGATAGAAGCACATAAAACACATAGTATGCCAATTGCCAAAACACGATGAAGGTAGCCAGAGAGAGATGAGAGTCATCATCAATTAGATCAACGCGAAAACAATGAGTTGATTTCACTAACGCTACTACAGCACGAAAACACAAGAAAAACGATCCTTTGACGAAAACCAAATCAACAAGGGATCATTAAATACAAAGACCAATGTGCAAAAGCAACAGAATCCAGTGGAATTTTACGAAGATAAGCTCAGCGATGAGTGGAATTTGTCGTGAAGTAAATTTACAATTATGGATGAAGAACTTTAACAAAACTCAAACAGATCCACACATATAGCATTACTGACTCAAACCCTTAAGTAAAAAACATGAACTTGCAAAATCTTACTTACCACTAAAGATTGAATCTCATCAAAGGGATCCAGTTTCGATTAAGAACAGAACCCAACCCACACACACACAAATCGTTCAATCCACGTTCCAGTGAAGATGTAAAAATCATTGTAATCATATGAAATGTGAACCTCTAACTTAGCCAATAATCTCGAAGAAAAAAATGCCCAAAACCCTAAAAAACGAATCAAGCTCCCAGTAGAAAGTAGGGGAAGACGAAACGTAACAATTCCCGAGAGAAAAAAAAAAAAACTCACCATCGGAGCAGTCTTCTACTTCCCTTTCCTCTGGATGCTAAATCTCAATTGCGAATCACCTCAAATCCAAAACCCAGAAGCTCGCAATGATGATGAAACATAGCTTATGAGAGACGCGCTTCATATAAAAACTTTGCATCGTTTTTATATATTACACCCCGTATGTTTTAAAAGTTTACAAATTTAACCGAAAACTTATGATTCATGACATTTACACCCTCACTCACTGTCTCTTCGTTATGTTTACCTGGACTTTGCGTCTGTTATGTATCTAAAATTACACATTACTTCTCATTTTGGCAAAATATTCAGATCTTGTCTTCTAAAAAGCTTTGTTGATATATGTATCTAAAATTAGTAGTATCATCAGAGCAAGAAAAACTGATTCTGAGTTTGTTGTTTGTTACTGGATGACAATATAATCTGCATCAAACACATCTCCAGCTGTGGGAGACAGGTTGTTTCTCCGGACTTGCGCATGAGTCTCTGCTTCGTGTTGAAAGATCTTTACCACATCTTGTAGCTCCAGCTTTCTAACTTCTACTTGTTCTTCTGTGATGGGTTTTTTGAGCCCTAAGTATATCAGACCGACCGCAATCAGAATCGCTCCGATGAGAACCATGAGTGCAGAGAACAGACCAAACGCGTAAGGCGTGTTCTGAGCGCCTGGGATACCATCCACGTTGATACCGAACAGTCCTACGATTATGGTAAGTACAAGACCGCATCCTCCAAAGACTGCTAAGTTATGGCTTACTCTCAGGCTTTTGTCCTGAAATTTCAAATTGGGGTTTCAGCCAGATTTATGAGTAATCAGATCTTTAATTTTGTTTGGTGGGGACGGACCTGTAACCAAGCGCGGACACTGCTTTGCATGACATCTTGAATTGTGAAGAGACGTCCACGGACTGCTTCTTGTTCCTCCAGCATTTCCCTTGTGTTCTTCCTCAAAGCCTCTAACAGATGCCGAGCTACGTTTCCCCTCAGATGCTGGAGAAGCTCAAAGATTATCTCCTCTCTTGCATGCAGCGACCACTTCACTCGGATAACCTGCAATTGGAAGAGGACGACCTCAACTTCTTGACTATAGTTCAGTCTATCCCACACACAAACATCAACAAACGCCTTTCCAACACAAGATCAGTCATTTTTCAATTAATTCATATTGAGGGTTAGCTGCAATGAAGGGAAGGTGACCTGTCTTGATAACTTTCTAATCTCTTGGTTGAGAATGATACTGAAGAGATTCAAATCCTCGTAGTTTCTCCTAATAACAGGAAAATATAGTTTATGTTAGTTTAACATGTATATTGTGTACTATCCCAAACAAATAGATACATATCTGTAAGAACCTGTTCATAAACTTCAATTCAATCTCATCAGCTACGCCAAATATGGATTTACGAAATAACCTATCATCAATCAAGACAACAAAAAATCCGGTTAGATACTATCAAAACCAGAGATGGAAAACAACTAGAACTCAAGTCACATTTTTGGTCCAGCAGTATTAGACGAGCGTACATTAGAGAAAAAGATAGACCAGAAAACTGTTATCACCTATCATCCCATCGACTAAGACGGCTAGCCAAATGTGCTATGACTTCATGAACCGTTCTTGGTACATTATAACCTCCTGCATAAAGCAGCTCCTACCAAAAGAAACAGAACAAAAAATTGATGCAGGTCAGTATCTATATTACAGGCCTGTGTTATATATTAAGTTTAACGAATTTTATTAAGTAGATTTTTTTGACAGTTTGTGAACGAACCTCTACTTCAGTCACGCCCAGAACATTCGTGTTTGGTACAGTTCCTTTAACGTGCATCACAGTTACCAAGAAGTTTTTAGCTTGCCAAGAACGAAAAACAACGGGAACATCATCCTCACTGATTACCGGATCACCAACTGATTGTCCTAAAAGCTCAAACAATAAACCCCCAGCAACCCTCACTGGAACCTAAGAAAATACACCAGGAATACAAGTTATACAACAACATCCAAGAAAATACACCAGATATTAAACTGTAACAACCCATCTCAAGTAACACTAAAAATTAAAAACTTTACTACGCTTAGAGACGATCATGCATCTTTAATCATATCCAAAACCACTATGACCCATGTGGAAGCATTTAATGGCCGTGTTTTCAATGAGCCTTTCTCAGTCAAAATCACCAAAAAATTAAAATATGGATGAATTCTGACTCTCAACTTACATACTTGAAGTGGGAACCAGAGACATACCTCGTATAAAAGGTGTTTCATCCGTTCACTTATAAGCTTACTTTCGTCCCTCAAAGCAAGACTAATCGCAGGATGCAACCATGTAGCAGTTTTGAGCCATGCGTCAACCGAAGGGTGTCCAGCCATCATATGGCACCACCATGTGGGGCCACCTGGTCGTTCCCAATAGGGAGCTGCTAAATCTGTAACGGGAACATCCTCTTCGTCATCCATTAAGTCCAAATTTGGCCACTCCGCGTTTACTTGCACCATTTGAATTAGTTCAGATATTCTAGCCCAACCAATAGGTATCCAACGACTTCCCTCATATTTCTCAACTTGTCCTAATGGAAGCACATGGTCATCTTTAAAATCCCAAGAAGGTGTCGACCTTGACCGTAAATCACCCACTGCAGGGGACTCAACAAACGGGTTGTGACCAAATCCGGGGGTTGGTCCATCTTCTTGCTTCAAATAACCTTTGTCCAGTTGTTTGCTTGTCAATCCGTTGACAGGCTTTGAATCAATATGCTTTTTTGCGCCTCGAACAAATTCAAAGGCGCAAATAAGCCCATCAGTCCAAAGATCACTCTTGGGGACGCCTGAATTATTTTTATTCGCAAGCTTCTTGGAACTACTCTCTTCAGAGACTGAATGATTCTGCGTATTCTCCCCCATACTCATTCAATAGAAACACCACCAGTTTGCTCTACTGCCTGTGTCACAAATAAAATTCATTCACATGAGCATCAATTTTCTTTCTGCCAAACTCTAGACAGATGCACATTCATCAGCTAAATTCACATAACCACTCTTATATTCACACATAATTCCAGTTTCTCACCACTCCAGTCTAAAGTACCTTAGCTGAGAAGTTTTTCAAGATCATGTTTTACTACAAAGTGTGTATAAAAAGCTAGCTCACAGAGTGTTAAACCTTTTCACCCAAACCAAAAGCCACAAAAACACCAAAACTGCATACTTTTCACAACCAAGACTGGAAATTACATGCAAGAAACAAAACTACAGTACATAATCAGGATCAAGAACGCGAATCTATAAAAGAGGATCGTAAGAATGAGGGTTCAATCACAATACCTATACTAGGGTTTTAGCAGAAACCCAGGATTTATAGCACC